TTCAATGCGACGGCCGTAGTCGCGGGTCCAATTTGGCGGGGCGACCTCGTCCTTGACGATTTCCTGGTAGATTGTCTGAGCGGGGGGAGCCACGCGGATGGTCTCGATGGTCTCTGTGACGGTGGGGCAAGCGGGGCAGGCTGTTTGGACAGAGATGCCGGCTGGAGAACCAACGAGAAGCTCTGCTTCCCGGCGAGCGACCTCTGCCTCGCGATGTGCGACCTCGCTTTCACGGGAGACAAGTGCCTGGGATCGCTTGGGTGTGAGGTAACCCCACAAACCACTGTTGGCGGCATCTGGATCTGCGGGGGGAACTGGGACGACTGGGGGAGTAGGTGTGCGTGAAGATGGGAGAGAGAGCATGACGGCGAGAACGGCGAGGATGAGGGAGAGAGTGAGAAGGAGAGTGGTTGAAGATATTGTCCTGTGCGATCTGTGTGATCTATCGCGTTCTCTGCGTTCTCTGTCGCGGGGTTCGCGGTCGTGGTCGCGGTGAGAGGATGAAGGGTTTGCCATCCTTTCTATCCTGTCTCTAATCCTGCTGATTGAGGAGGAGGGGGACAGAGAGGTAGCTTGAGGGTAGGTGTATGTACGAGATATGGTTGGAGATGGAGGAGGGGAGGATGTCGCGTGTTGTTGGTTCGATTTGACTTGGGCTCTTTTTATACAATGCCATGTTTGGCCATTTTGCCACGAGGCGTTGTGCACAAACAAAGCATCCACGGCCATGAATCGCGATCGCAAGACAAGACGCTGTAGAGTACATTATCTCATCTAAAACATTTTTATTTATTTATTGTACTCATACCTCCTCCTCGTAGTGGTACAACGACAAGGGTTGGCCAAGACTAAGATCAAACGGTGCCCTTGGTTGCGACAGAGAGGAATTCAACAAGTTCTGTTTCTTTGCTCACCCCTCCGATCCAGAGTGGGACACTGCAGTGATCAGTCCCAAGCCTGCAGCCATCATCTATCAGAACGGCGAGCGTCCACGCACCCCAGACCCCCGCGTCAAGCAAGAACCAGACTCTACTCCAATGTCCTTTTCAGCGTACGGCAGACGCGCCTCTCCGCCTTCACGTTATCTGTCCCGTCGTACACCTTCTCCGTCAAATGAAAGGGAAAGGGATAGGGATAGGGATAGAGACAGAGATAGAGATAGAGATAGAGACAGAGAACGGGACAGGCACAGAGACAGAGACCGCGACCGCAGACGCGATCCTCCATCACGACACAGATCCCGCGAGAGGTCGCCGACAGAGTCTATAGCCTCGAGCAGAAACTATGATCGCGATTACCCTTCCCGCGATGATAGACACAGGAGATCATTTGCTGACCAACCACCATCCACATATCCAATACAGGATCCCCAAGCGCCCACAACTGCCTCCGCTCCGCCACATTCCCCTCACATGCCTCCACCATCCTCCGCTCCTCCTCCTCTCCCTCCTCCCCCACTCCCTCCTCAGTCATGGATAACTAAAGCCTCTGAGCCAACACCGCCCACCAAACCCATTTCGCATGACGAACGCAGAAAAGCATGGGTGGCGAGGATAAAGTACGCCTTGTCATAATCGTATCCCTGTTCGTCACTTAACCTCAC